ATTGCTATCGACTGGAGTTTGCTGCTGCTGTTTGTCTCTTTTGCTTTTTGTTTTTCCTGTTTTTTATCTCTTTAAAATTAAAAAAAAAAAAAAAGATGGAGAAGCCGAAGGGGCACCCGGCACGCTGCAGGGTCAGGTGCGGGGCCGACCCGGGCTGGGCCTGGTTTCGCCGCCTCCTGGCCCAGTGCTGAGACTCCCAGCGCCCGCCTCCACCCGCCTTTCCTTCACTACCCTCTGCCCGCCCAGCCCAGGACAGAGTGATGCCTGCTACATGACGGTGCGATGCAGCCCTGGGGTGTGCTCAGCCCCACCCGCACCCCTCCTCAGCCGCCTGCTCTGCCCCTGTGCTCCTCAGGGCCCTGTCTGGAGTCCAGGCCTGACCCTGGCTCTGATGCCCAGGATTAAGTCCAGTGTCGGCTGGCATTTGGGCCACCCGTCGGCCCCTGTGGACCTTGTCAGCCCCTCCTCACATTGCCCTCAAGCCCCTGGCTGCTGTGGCTGCACCATGTCACAGCACGCCGCACCACACTGCACCTCATCATCCCGTACCACCCCTACCAACTGCACCCCATCCCACAATACCACCCCCTACCACGCCACACCACAGGACCTCCTGGGACACACAAGGTCCACAACTCACAGGCTGTGCTTGTGGCATATCACCTTCCTGCCACCACTATCAACACCCCACTGTCACCACCGCCATCACTTCTGTCATTACCACCATCACCACCATCACCACCATCACCACCATCACCACCATCACCACCACCACCATCATCACCATCACCACCATCACCATCATCACCACCACCACCACCATCACCACCACCATCACCACCACCATCACCACCACCATCACCATCATCACCATCACCACCATCACCACCACCACCATCACCACCACCACCTTCATCACGACCATCACCATCAGCATCATCACCACCATCTCCACCATCACCATCATCATCACCATCACCACCATCACCACCACCAGCACCACCACCATCAACACCACCACCACCATCATCACCACCACCATCACCACCACCATCACCATCATCACCACCATTACCACCATCACCACCACCATCACCATCATCACCACCATTACCACCATCACCACCACCATCACCACCACCATCACCATCACCATCATCACCACCATTACCACCATCACCACCATCACCACCACCATCACCATCATCACCACCATTACCACCATCACCACCACCATCACCATCTTCACCACCATTACCACCATCACCACCATCACCACCATCATCACCACCACCACCATCACCACCACCATCACCACCACCATCACCATCATCACCACCATTACCACCATCACCACCACCATCATCACCACCATCATCACCACCACCATCACCATCACCACCACCATCATCACCACCACCACCATCACCATCACCACCACCATCATCATCACCATCACCATCACAACCATTACCATCATCATCACCATCACCACCACCACCACCACCACCATCATCACCACCACCACCATCACCACCACCATCACCACCATCACCACCATCACCACCACCACCATCATCACCATCACCATCACCATGATCCTTACAGTTTATATCTTGGTGTCCATCCCCACAAAGCCAGAAGTGCTTTTAGAGGTGATAGCTGGAGAAGGTGACTGGTTCTTCCAATGCCACATCTGGCTTGGCCTTGGGAGGACCCTTCCCTATGTGGCCCTAGTGGGGAGGACCTAAGGGTGAGTCGCCCAGGACAGTGAGAGGAGAGGCCAGGCCTCCAGTTCAGGGGCCTTCTGTCCCCACCCGAGGCGCACAGCTCCTTCCTCAGCCTGGGCCTGGGCTTTCGGTGCTGCCTGACGTGATGCCCAGCTGGTTCCTGCCATCTCTCTGTGGACAGCCCCACCTCCCAGCGGTTCAGGCAGCCCTTTGGCTACCAGAGTGGCACAAAGGCTGTCCCGCTCTTGTGTGTGTCCAGCAGTGTGATTTTGTGGCACCAGCATAATCCGTACACCTCTTCTATGTCCTCATCTGGGCAGCCACACTGGGAAGGTCAGAGGACAACAGGCTGATCCATGGATGAGGGCTGGGACTCCTTCAGTGGCCATTGCCCTGCAGGTCACTTCTACTTCTCAGGACAGTGGAAGACAAGCCAGAAGGCAGGAACAACCCCTGCCACCTCCTCGTTGGCTCCCCAGTGGACGCAGCTGGTAGAGGTGCCCAGGGGCTGGGGTGCCATGAAGAGGAGGGGCGAGATGTGGCCAGTCTGTGCGCACTGCAAGCATCCATGACAGGGGTAGCACCACAGGTGCGAGGCTGTCCTGAAGGGCAGCGGGCCCCGGGCAGGCCCCACCCGTCTCTGGGCCACGGTTTCTCTTACAGCGAGCAGCTTTGGAGGGCCACTTCTGCTTCTGCGGGCTGGGACCACCTGGCCATGCCTGGCCACGCCTGTCAGGCCACCAGTGCTGCAGCGAAGTGAGCACAAACATGTCTGACACTAAATAATTCATTTTTGTCCCATGATAAAAACCTTGTTTATTGATCTCCAACCCCTCCCAGCAATCAGCCGCTGACGGAAACCCGCGTCTTAATTATCATCCAGGGCCTGCTAGGAGGGCGGTCCAGCTGCCGCAGCAGTCCCAGCCGTCCTCGGGCGTCCTGGGCCCGGAGCCAGCTGCTGCCCGGCTGTGCTCTGTCCCAGGCTGTCTGTCCCTGGCTTATGGCTATGGCAGCATGGCCCGTGCACCCCTGAGGGCCGGGCAGGAGGTGTCCAGGGAGAGGAGGCCACTGTATCTGGGGCCCTGGGTTGTGGGGTTCGCTGAGGACTGTGGGAGCCATTTGTTGGGGGCAAAGAAGAGGGGCTCAGTCCAGCGAGGCAGCTCTGCATAGGCTATGTCTTTGGGATGCCCGGCCAGGGGCAATCTGGGTGCAAGGACCTGCCGCTGGGTTTGGACCTGGACACTGGCCCTATGACCCGTCCACCCTGCCTGGTAAATGTGCCTGTTGGGTTCCTTCCCTGAAGCCCAGCACGGGAAGGTGACCCTTCCCATCCTCAGGGACCCAAACCCAAGTGGGGTGTGTCCTGCGGCATCGATACCAGCTGTCAGGCTCACTTTCTTCCAGCACCCTGCAGCCCTGAGTGTTGAGGTCCTAGTGCCCGGCAGCCAGGGAGCCCCAGCCCCGTTCTGACCCAGGAGGGGTTCAGTGAGGCTGGTGATGGGGTAAGTGATTCCCAGGGCTGCGTGCTCAAGGGAAGGGTTGGTGGTACTTGGGGAATGGGGACACAGGGTGGGTGCTTGGCTCCCACCGGGGCTCCTGGGGTGCCCGGTCAGGCGAGGGGCTTGGTAAACACAGCATTGCTTGCTGTGGGGACGAAATAGTGAGGTGCCAGTGACCACACGGTCCACGGAAAGTGCTTGGTGAGAGACCAGACCACAGAAAGCGCTTGGTGGGTGCCCAGTCCACCAGAAGTGCTTGGTGGGTGCCTAGTGCTCAGGGCGTCCCCTTGTGTAGTCCAGTTTGATGTCATCTGTGACCTGACTTCCATGGGCTTCAGTCTCTGGATGAATATAGCCTCACCTGAATCTTGGTGCCACCTCTTCAGAGACAGGCCATTTGGTGCTCCCTGCCTCAGTTTCCCTATCTTTCAAGCAATACGGGGTGTGTGAGGAGTTTCCTTGCATGGGGGACAATGGCAGGTACCCTTCCAGGATAAGACACACAGAGGGTAGAGTGACAGGATTTCCCAGCGCTGCCCACTCCGCTGCAGCACCCCTCGTATGACCCCCCTCTTCCCCTGTGCTTGGCCCAAGACACTGGCAAGAGCTGTCCAGGGCCTGAACTGCAGCCCTGTGCCCATAACTGCGGCCCCGTGCCTATAGCCCAAACATGGACACCCAAACATGGAGAGGCCCAAAGAACTGCCACAAGGTGAGGGGGCAGAGCGGGGCTGCTGGGTGCTCTGGACCCATTCCTGTGCTGCCTCCCTGCCAGCTGCATCTGCCCCAGGACCTTTGCACCTCTCTGAGGGCTCCTCATAACATCTGGAGCCTCTGTTACTCCCTGAGGTGACTGGGTGTCCATTCTATCCAGAATGTCACTCATGGTGCTCATGGGATATCTGAGAACAAGGCCTGCACAGAGGGTGCAGCCCCAGCCACCTATCTGTCAGAGCCTTCTTCCTCTGTGTGTCCGGAGGCGTGGTTGTTTGCCAGCGCCATCCACCTCCCCAGCCGTGACAGGGTTTCTGTTTCCCTGGCTGAGGGCAGGAAGGCTCCTGTGGATGCAGTGTTGACTTCGGGGTGACTCCTGAGTCCCTGCCTGGGCCCCGCAATCAGGCCCAGTGGACACATGACCCACGGACTTGAGCCCTGGCACAGCCCGGGACCCAGTGTCCACTGGTCACCAGCAGGTGAGGGGCACATGGCTTCCCGGGGCGCAGGGTCTGCTCATGGCTTCCTTCTTCTTCTGAATCCTGGGTCACCGTCCAGCCCTCAGCCTTCAGGGCACTGAAGTCCCCAGGTTGGCATGGCCTGGGTCACTGCTGGAGCTTGCTGCTTGTGGGGTCCTGTGGTGGGCAGGGACAGGCAGTGACCTCAGGGGACCCACGGTGGCTCAGGTGGGGCTAGCGAGGGCCTCATAGCAGAACAACTGGCCCCACAGCAGGGGCCACCCTCAGCTCCCGGTCCCAGTGCTTACGAGAGGTCACCAAGAAGGCCACAGGTCCAGAGAGGGCATGACCTCAGGCTGCAGACCCCGCACACAGGCAGCCCTCACCAAACTCATGCTGTCCTTGGGGATGTGGGGGTGGCAGGGGGACATGCCCTGGCCTCGTCCCCTGCCCACCACATCTCCCTGGGATGGCGTAGGCTGTACCAGCAGCCAGAGGCTGGTGCTGCTGGGCCTGCTCCTGGGCACTGTACCAGCTGGGGTGGGGCTCCAAAGAGGCACAGAGCCCTGTGTGGGACTAATCACGGCAGGCAGGGGACAGGTCACAGTACTGATGTGTAGGGACCTTTCCCAGGGCCCGGAGCTGTGTGCTGCACTGGCAGGGATGGATCGTCACAGCTGCGCGGTGCCCGGCAAGCTCAGGGAGGGCAGAGGAGGGACAGAACGTCCCCCCAGTGCAAATGACATGGAGCAGGCAGACCGAGTGCCCCCTCCAGGCGTGCCGGTGGTCATCCCAGAGACTGTTTTGTGCAGAGAGCGGGCTGCTCTGCTCAGGGTAAGGTGGGAGCAGCTTGGGGACCTCGGCCCAGGGGAGGAGGCAGGGATGGGGCCGGGAAGCAACCTCCAGGGACGCACTGCCCTGCAGCCCCTGCACAAATGTGTCCTTAGACCTCACTCTGTGGCTAAGGCTGAGCTACACGAGGCTGGACTTTGGTCACTTTTGATTTCAGGTAGATGAGGCCGGGCATGGGCGGAAGGCTGGGCCAGGGCCGGGACAAGCAATTCCTCTTTTACGGGCATCCGCTGTGTCACCAGCAGACAGCCCCCCAGACAGGGTGTAAAGAGGCGGCGGCCAGACCCGCAGCTGGGCTCACACACACCCCGTCTTCCGCCTCCTCCTCTGGGGGACCCAGCCGAGTCCTCTCCTCTGCACCCTAACAGCCCCCGTACCCCAAGGGGTACATGTCAGAGACTGCGGCTGTTGTGGGCAGCCCTCCAAAGCACCACTGTGTCCAGCTCCTTCCCTGGTCTCCCCAGGACCTGGCCAGGCCTGGTGAGGCTTCTGCGGAAGGAATGAGCGGATGAGCGGACAGTTCTCCAGGGCAGGACCTGGGGAGGGCCCGGATTTGTGGGTAAGACAAACACAGGGCTGCACCCAAGTCCTGAGTGCAGGCAGCATCCTCCTGCTCATCACACTTGGAGTCTGCAGAGCCCCTGGCGTCCTGTGAGGGCCCAGGTTTGGGCACTGCCCCGGGGCGTGTGAGGCCACAGGGCCGTCCTTTTCCCTGTCTCTATCTGTGTCTTCTCCTGCGCCATGATCACCATCCTGGCTGGCATTCTGCTCGGGGACAGCCAGGCTGGGGCTTTGCAGGAAATTAAGTGACCCGCCACTGTCCCCAAGGGCCACTCCCAGGCGGAGAGGGCCTGGCTGCTGGCTCTGAGTCCTGTTTTCAGGCCCTGGCTGATGGCTTGGTCTCCTAGGACCGTAATGAAACAATGTTGCTGGGACACGGTGCTTGTCGCCTGAGAGTGTCTAAGTGCTTTCCGACAATTAATCGGCTGGGCACTCAGCGCTGAGCGCCACAGCCCAGGGGGCCACAGGGCGGGAGGGAGGTGGCCTGGGGACAGCACTGCTCTCAGCCCTCTCCGCTGCTCTTCCAGACCGCAGGCCAGGCTGGCGGGAGGGGGAGGAGCCCGAGCTGTGCAGAGGACAGAGGACGGGAAGAAGCCAGGGCCAGAGGGAGGGGTTTGTACGGGGTCCTTGGGTCTCCTGTGAGGGAGATGCTGGACCCTTTGTCTCTCCTTGCCAGCCTCAGTTTCCCCATCTCGACACAGGAAGTACACAGGACCCTTAGGCTGTGGAGACAGCGTGACGAAGCCGAGGCCTCGCTGCCCCCACAGTGGAATACGGCCCTGTGCAGTAAGCGTGCAGTGCACGTAGGAGGTGCCTTGTCTGCCACTAAGCCAGCTGCTGGGACAAGGGTGCTGTGCTTCCTGGCCCCGAGGACTCCACGCCCTGGGAAGCGGCAGCCCTCCACCCTCTCGCTCTGCATCCTGCTGTCTGTCCACTCCGTGGCAATCCATAGTGGTGGAACCCTCAACTGTGGGGCCCCGACTCAGGGCCGTGGGCAAGGGGGCGCCCAGAGGGCACTGTGACCCCCACCTTCTACCTGCTTGCTTCCCACAGTGGGGTGCTCATGCCTTCTCAGCTGTTACTGCATTTCACCACTCAGCTCTGCACCTGACAGCCGTACACCAGACACCCAGGTGTCTGGACACCCAGGTCAGGGGTCATTAATGGACCTGGAACCACGCTGCCACACGCCGGGCACGGGGAGGAGGAGCGGATGCCTCCAGGGGCTTCTGACCAGCATCAGTCCCTCTGTCTCCCCAGGACCATCAGCCCTCATTCCACCCATGCCAGCAGGTTCGAGGTGCCGTGGTGTCTCCTGTTCTGTAGAGGGTGGGACTGAGGAACACAGGAGACAGCTGACTTCTCCCTGGGCTACGTCTCCAGGCCTTCTTAATTTTCTTTTTTAAGCTTTGAGACAATATCCTGCTGAGCTGCTATGTTGTCCAGCCAGGGCATGGACTTCTGATGCCCTTGCCTCAGCCCCTCCGGGACACACATGCACCCCACTTGTGGCTCCTGGAAGCGTTCGTTAGGAACGCATCTTCGAAGGCCTAATGAATTGCTGTGTGGCACGGCCTAGTAGGCACTGCCGGCTTGGGCGTGTGTGCTGAGGGCTGCATTTGATGAGTGTGTGAGATGCCTGTGGGCGACGCTTCCGGTGTTAGCAGCAGTGTGATGCATCTTGGTGAGCTGGGCTTTCTGGCTTTTCGTATATGTACCTTCTACGTTAGCTTTGCCCGATTTCATATACATTTAAACCATGGCCCTGCTGGTACCTGTGCCTAGGGTGCTGGGTATGGGGCAGGGCTGGCCATGGCCCAGGCTCGGTCAGCAAAGGATAGAAGAGGGGGCACAGGGACCAACATCACAGATGGATGGAACAGCCCTGGCGGAGCCCTGAGGACGGGGGACCTCAGGCTGGCTCTGCCCTATAGGAGGACCCTGAGGGGCACAGGGGCTGCTTCAGGAGTGGCTTAGCTGCCCAGATTTAGATCTTGTTGCCTGAAGATCGTTCCCTAAGAGGGGCTGACGCAGTTAGCAAGCCCTGACTCTTCCTTCCTGTGTGAGCGGGGCCAGTGGTGCCCGCCCTGTCCCATGTGGGCAGGAGTGAGACCAACGTGCTTCCGAGCCTATCTGTGCGCTGGGACACAGGGCCAGGCTGGTGTCCAGCAGTGACACTCGGGAAGGGGCACCGCGCTCAGGCTGTGCCAGCCCTTGGGGCCATGGCACCCGCCTGCTGCCCACTGTCCCCAGGTAGCTTATGGGAAAGAATGGAGAACCCAGGGAGCCTTTGCCAGCAGCGCCTCCAGCAGCCTGGGCTGCAGGGAGCCAGGGTCATGCTCCCGGGCCACACCAGGTTCGCCTGCTTCCTGCCGCTGCCAGATGCGGCCCCTGGACCTCTGGGGCTCTGAGCTGCCTCTTCTTGCTTTGCAAGGATCCAGGAGGGATGGTACTGGGGACGGTCACTCACAGGACAGCTGCCCCCACTGCCCATGACCTCCCAGTGCCAGGCCCTCCATCACCTGGAAGTCCCCTCTAGGCCAGGTTCCCAAGTGTCACCCCATTGAGTACAGCTGTGGGGACAGACAGCCCACCTGGCCATGTCCCCAGGAGTCAGGGTTAGAGTTAAGTGGCCTTGGGGTGCAGCGAGTTTCAGCAAGCACAGAGTGAGAAACACAAACCTTCTTGGCAGGCCCTGTGTCACCAGGATGGGCCATCAGCAGCCATCGGAGGCACTTGGCAGCCTGAGCTGGTGCTGCAGGGTACCGGGTAAGGAATGGCTCTGGGGGGACCCAGGCAGGCAGGGCGCTGGACAGTGGGTGGCTGGGGTGGCAATGGTTGAGCATGTAAGGACCAAAGGTGGTGCCCGCAGGTGTGCCTGCCACGGGGCCTGGGCTCGGGGCTGAGGTCTGTGCGGTGTCACCAGGCCCCTCCAGCCTGGGCTCACGACGGCCTTGGGCTCCTCTCAGCACCAGGACGATCGATGGCTCCTTGAGAGCGCATTAGCCGAGGCACTCTCGGGACGCAAAGTACCATTTCCGCCCAGCTGCGCTCGCCCAGTGCCTCCCGCTGCCCACCGGGAGGGAGTGAATCTCGCCTAGGGGCGCATGGCCAAGGGGGGTCTGCTGTCTAAAGTGCTCAGAAGCGTTCAATGGCCCCCTGGGGACACCTGCTTCCCCGCTAAGTGTCGAGGCCCAGGGCCCCTGGGTCTGCCAGCAACAAGTCCGAGAAGTGCCAGCATTCAGTGTAGGGGCGGCGGGGCTGCAGGTGGCTGGGGCCTCGAGCTCCTCCCTGCCGACCATGGCCCTGCCCCCTGGGAGCAGCCCCTGGCCAGCCTCGTCCGCTGCAGCCCTGGCCAGGGCCTCCTCCTGCTGCCGGCTCTGTGCCCTGCACCCCATTTCCCACCCTGCCTGGGTATGTCACCTAAGTCTTCCCTCCACAGGATGTCTCTGACCCCCAGTTCTTCTACACACTGCCCCCCAAGGGCATGGAGGTCTGGTGCGGCTTCCAGGAACCCCGAGGGAGAACATACACACTTCTCTCTGTGTACAAAGGAAAATAGACCTCTTTTCAAATATCCACTCAGCGCTCACTGCATCTGTAAAAAAGCCCTGAGCTCCTTTCCCTGATGCTTAACAAGGAACTGGAATTTGTGGCGCTGGAGGAGAAGCCAGAAGGGGGTCCCAGGTATTCTCTCCCAGGGCTGCCTGGAACTTTCTTGCTGGCTGCACAGTGGGAAGTGGAGTCTGTGATCAGCGTGCGTTTTCACAACAGCACGGCCGCCAGCCTTGGTTCCCACTAGCCCCACTCTTACTTTGTCTGTTGTGAACGCTTACTTTGGGAGTTTTCTTTACAGTTGTGCAGATCGGTTCTGGACAGGACCCTGGTCCTAGCAGCTGGAGCTTCTGCACTGAGCACGAGGCCTGGTGCCTCCTTTCTTCTCCCCATCCCAGCATGTGCTCCTGGCATTACGTGACCTGTGACCTCATCCTTTTTCCCCTGGGCTGTGAGTATCCCTGGAATCCCCTGGGCTGTGGTCAATGTGCCCAGGCCAGGAGAGCCAGTTTTGGGGAGAAGGGGGAAACAGCAGGACATAAACCTACCAGGCTGAACCACAAGGGTGTGGCTTGGTGGCTGCAAGAGGAGGTAGACACATACCTGCAGTGGCACAGCCCTAATGGCCATGCCTGGAAGATGGATGTGGCCCCTCCGGTAAGATCAGCGCCAGATGCACTGTGCCACCACCAGATGTGGCCCGATTAATGGGGTCAGGAAGGGGGCTGCAGGGCTCGGGGGAGACAGCAGCTGCAGTAAGCTCGAGCAGCTCTTGCCAAGAGCTCTGGCTGCCCAGGCTGCTCCAGTGCTGGCCCTGCAGGGGCCTTGGAGGCCTCGAGCCAGGGGTTGCAGCTGGGGGAGGTACAGGCCAGGCAGCCATGCTCTGGGGCCACTGAGAGGCAGGATGGGTGAGGAGCAGAAGCAGGAGACGGCTCCTGGGCTCCTATGGGGACAGCCCAGCACCAGACCCCAGCCCCGGGCTCCTAGAGACCCCAACTGCTCACATCATCTTCCCAGTAAGGGACACAGGATGAGGAAGTGTCCTCTATTTGGGACACATTGCTTTAGGTGAGCAGCAAAGAGCAAGAGACAGATCTCAACCCTGCAATGGATTATGTGGGGCGTTAGGGAAGTGTGATTTTAATTTGCATATTGCACAAGCCATTTTTTTGCCCAAGGTTGCATGAGTTTCGATGAACGCAGTTATTAAGTTGCCCAGGCTGGACTCGAATTTGTGATCTTGCTTCAGCCTCCCGAGAAGCTGGGACCTCAGCAGCCCCTCCTCTGGCTTGAGTCAGTGATGGAGGCTCTAGGCTGGTCATTGTTTCACTGCTCAGTGCTGGGTGGAGAGGGTCCCTGAGCACGGCCGCTCCATGGCGGGCACTGTGCCCAGGTGGTCACACACCCAGGAGGCTGCCGTCGCTCTTCCATGAGTCTCAGAAGCAGCTCACGTGTGTGCTTCTGTTCTGAGCTTTTCATTCACGCTTTGGTGTTTTACTTGAAGATGACCTTAGCTGTATGACAGATTTCGAGAACAGTACAGAAATTTCCACCACTGCCCTCCTCCAGGGACCCCACCCTCAGTACCGCCCGCACCTGCAGGGCGCTGGTGCGGACAGCAGTACGATGCCGCTCCGAGACGCCCGCGGTCCCTGCTGGTCCTCTGCTCCAGTCCCGGATCTGCTCCCACCCTGCTTTGACCTTGGTGTCCTTTGGCCTGTAGACTGGACAGAATCCAGTGTCTCTGTGTCTTTGGTGACCTGAGGACTGGAAGGTCTCTGCAGACCCCTCTTTGTCCCTGGGTGGCTCTACTGTCCCTCAGGGGTGGATCGGTCCTGCCTGGAGATGAGGCGTGGCAGTGCTATGGCCTCTCGGGGTGTCCTGAGCGGCTGTCCTGGGTGCCTGCTGGGGCCGCCAGCATGTCCCCTGGGTCACGGGCTTCCTACCTGTTCTCTCCTTCGCTGTAGTTTTTGCTTTGTCATCCACAGCATTCCGAAGCCACGTTGTGGGCAGTGGGAGTCCTCCGCAGAGCCTCTGCCTGCCACACGGCATGGAGTGGGATCTCAGGATGGCCTCGTGACCTGTCACAGCAGCCCTCTGCCCAGTCCTCTGCCCAGCGCTCTCCTCCCTGCATTTGTCCACGTTCACCACTAGGAATTCCAGCCTGTGCTCACTAAGTAGTTCTCACTGATACCGCCACAACATGACGTGGCTGGCTTAATTCATCCTCTGGGTTCTGCTCTAGGGCTGAGCCTGTTCTGTGGTCAACCTGGCCCAGCGTAGGCCCGAGACTGCTCTCAGAGAGTCCCATGCTTCTCATGGCAAGCGATTCGCTAAGGCCTGGCACCCCAAGATCCACAGACTCACCCCGTCTACCTTCCCCTGTGCTCCCCTGGCCGCTTGCTTTCCTCTGTCACAAATGGGGAGGTAGCCTTTCTCTAACCCACGAGAGCCTTAAAGAGTAAACATATCCACCAGGGGTCCAGTGCTTGGCCAGAAATGTGGCTTGAAAATGTGTCCCCTCGGTCCATCACTTGTCTTTCTGTTCCCTTAAATGGTGACACAGTTTGGATGGAGACTTTCTCCAGGGGCCCTGGGTCAAAGGTGGGGCTGATCGAGGGCGGGGCCTGGAATGGCCCCTCCCCCTTGCTGGCGCCCCACTCCCCCTCCTGTCTCCCATGGCCCGAAACGGCTCTCCTCTGCCAGGACCCCTCCGTGCCCTGTCTGTGCGTGGCCAGCTGAAATTTCTGGAAACGTGAGCCAAAATAAACCTCTCTTCCTCTAAGCCGTGGGTGTTGGGTATTTTGTCCCAGGAAAAAGAAAGTGGCGGAGGCCATGGGTCAGTCTGTCTGCGGATCGGCAGAGCAGAAAGTCTGCACTTGGACACAGCCGGGCTGTCCACTTGGTGGTGGGCTGTGCCACTGGTGTCCTCTCTGGACGTGCTGCTGGCTCCACACCACACGGATTCTGCATCTCGGTTTTCTTTTAGGGCTTGTGAATATTTCATGGAGTTTTCGCTTTGAGTTTTTTGTTGTAAAGGGCGAGGTATTATTGGCTGAGGGCTGATGAGTTCATGACTGAGTGGAACACATGCAGCTTGTGGAAGAGATTATGATTTCTCTGCTAACCAGCTTTTCTGCTCTGTCAAAAGCCATGGACTACCTTGCTGGCAGCATCTGGTCCGGTGGCCTGTGTTGGTCCCCATGGTCATAATTCAGGGCAACTTTCAGCAAGCCTGGAACTCAGGGAGTGCGAATCTCCAAGGTCATCATGCTTTTCCAGGTTTCTAGTGGCTACGGTGGTTAATTTTCCTTTCTACTAAATGCTTGTGAGATTGCATTAAATCTGCAAGGGAGTCAACAAGTAAGAGATGAAGGTTTAAATTTAAAAATTGATTACAGTAAAAACATGTTTCCGTGAACTCCCTCCAAGTCCCCCCCCTGCAAATGCGCTCCTCTGTCACTCCGTACCTCCGGGGTGGCTCTGCAGGTCTTCCTGAGAGTCCTGGGGAAGAGCAACCAAAATGTGGTGAGTGTGGCTGCCCACTGCCGTCCAGTCAAGGGTGGCTCCAGAAAACCTGACCCTGCCTCTTCACCGTATCACTGGAGCTAGCACCAGGCAACGCCCGGCTCTTCCCAGCTGAGAGAAGGGAGCGCCCTGAACCCGTGCAGGACTCCGAGGCAGCCAGGGCAGTGCAGCTGAGGACCTTAGGAGGGCCCCGGAGCGGAGCTGCTGCGGGAACCGTGAGGACAGCAGGACGAGCGTGTGCTCGTGGTGGAGCAGCGTCTGCGTGGAGCTCAGCCCTTGAGGGGTTTGCTCTGAGTTCTTTCAGGGGTTTTGCTGGCAGGTGTCTTGGCATATGTTACAATTGACACCTAAGCAGTTCCTTGTTTGGTGTTGTGTTTGTTTTTTAATTTTAAGACCCCAGTTCCTCCTTGCTAGATGTTTGTAGAAATGCAACTGATTTTTGTTTTATTATGTATTTTATGACTTGTTACATTTCCCTGCGAGCTCAAGGGCACTTGCATAGATTCTCCGGGATTCTTCTGCATAGACAGGAATGTCACTGTCACCAGCAAACAGAGTCTCACTTCTTATCCGGCTCTCTCGGTTTCTTTTCCTTTTCTTGCTGAATGTGTGGCAGGACAGGGGTGGGTGGTGGCCTCGCCTCGCTCCTGATCTGGGGGTCAGATGCTTACCGAGTGCTCCTTGTCAGCTTCAGAAGTTCCCTGTGACTTTTTTTTCCCAGAACTTAAAAAAAATCATAAATATGTTTAGAATTTTGCCAGATGCTTCTGTTTTTGTATTTGCAGAGATAATCACTTTGTTTTTCTTTCTTTAGTTTCTTTTTGAGGGGGTGTCGGGATTGAACTCAGGACCTTGTGCTTGCCAGGCAGGGGCTGTGCCACTGAGCTACACCCTGATCTTTTTTCCTTATTTTTTATTGTTTATTGGTGCAGCTTAGACATACACAATGAGTGTCACATTCACCGCAGGGCATGTGTACCTCTGCGCCATCCATCTGATTCCCGCCCCTCCCGCCCTTCAGCCTCGCCTTCTCTCCTGTTTGCAAGCTTTGTCTCCATTTTGTCCTTATTTCCCCTTCTGTCGCTTTTCCTTCCTCTCTCCCTTCTCCCCTCTAGTTTCCCTTTCCAACAATTTTGTCCTTTTTCATAAGATCTATATACGTTTTGGCCCTTATGTATACTCTTAGTTTCTTACATCAGAGAGACAATGTGATATTTATATACAAGTGTCAAAATTTATTTCACTTGTGAGTGTGGCGTCAAGGTGCTTTCATTTACCTCGAAATGTCTCAAGTTTATCCTTCTTTATTGCCAAGTCGTACTCCAATTGTATTTTTTTAAAAACCCACATCTTTTTTATCTGCTCATCGGTTACTGGGCATCTGGGTTGTTTCCAAGATTTAGCTGTTACAAATTGTGCTGCTATAAACATGGGTACACATATATCGCTGTCATATGATGTTTTTTATTCTTTTGGGAAGGTACCCAGAAGGGGGATAGCTGGGTTTAATGTGACCTCTAGTCTTAGTTTTTTTGAGGAATCTCCACACTGATTTCCATGTAAACATGTAAAAACATGAACACTAAATCTGGTGGAAGAGAGAATAGGTAGAAGTTTTGAAGGCATGGATATAGGCGAAAACTTCATGAGCAAAAGCCAATCACACAGGAACTACTACAAAGAATCCACAACTGAAATCTCCGTTTATGAAAAAGCTTTTGTACAGCAACAGAGTGAAGAGACAACCCACAGAGTGGAAAAGATCTTGACCAGTTGTTGCTCAGACAAGAGACCAACATCTAGGACGTAGAGGAACTGAAAAAAGTCGGCTCCCCAAATTTAAAGGTCAGATCGGAAAATGGACATCCGAAACGGACACTTCCCAGACGCAGGAGTACAGCTTCTTGGGTTCTAACAGCAAATGAATACATGAGAAAATGCTCGCCATCACTGGTCACTCGAGAGCTGCAAATTAAATCAGCCGAGATTCCGCCCCACCCAGAAATGAATGCAGGGGGCTGTGGGGAAAAGGAACTTCGCTTTGCTTCCTGTAGACTGTTAATGCGATGCGTTACACCGACTGGCTAAGACTGTAGCCTGCTGTGTGTGGTCCTGCTCTAACACGGCTGGGCTCGGCTCCTTCCAGAGTTCGAACACTCCACACACCCGCATCACATGGACTCCACACACCCGCATCACACGGGCTCCACACACCCGCATCACACGGGCTCCACACACCCGCATCACACGGGCTCCACACACCCGCATCACGTGGACTCCACACACCCGCATCACACGGGCTCCACACACCCGCATCACACGGACTCCACACACCCGCATCACACGGACTCCACACACCCGCATCACGCGGGCTCCACACACCCGCATCACGTGGGCTCCACACACCCGCATCACACGGGCTCCACACACCCGCATACATACGACGGCTCTGGCCAAACTTTGTTACTGCAGGTGCCGGGAAGTCTGGCTGTCTTCCATGCCTTCCGCTGGCCGATTTCGGGCGCCACTGCCCGCTGGAGGCTGAGGTTCTGTGAGGTCTGCCAAGCTTGGTTCTGTGCTCGGGGATCTTTGCTGCCTCTGGTGGGATGTTCTCGTGGGCGTGGGGAGTGACTGCTCTGTTCACTGTTCTGGTCATTGCTGGGGAGGAGTGGCCACCCAGCTCCAGTCCTAGGACAGGATTTTTCTGTAGTTCTCTCAGTTTTTGGCTCATTACTGTGTGGCTGGTATCACGTTTTGGGCTGTGAGTTCTCACCGAACCGACTCCTTGTCGTGAGGCCATGTCCCTCTCTGTCTCGGATGGAATTCCTTTTTCTAGAGTTTCACCTGTTACTAATACAGTAACTCTAGCTTTTATTTTCTTATGTTTGCATGGTTTATTTTATTTTTCATTTTGGGCAGCTTGTAAACAATGCATGATGACATAAATGTCACTATATGTAAAACACATTTTCTACAGGTCACATGCTATAAAGTCTTGATTTAAAAACCATCAAATCTGATAACTCTGCGAGTGTGGTGGCCCATGCCTGTGATCCCAGGACTCGGGAGGCTGAGGCAGGAGGGTCACTGTGAATCTGAGGTCAGCCTGAATTATAGAGTGTCTCAAAAAGAGCAAAGGCAATAAAAAGAACCCTGACAACCTCCCCTCTACCTGGATGTTTACATGCTTCATCCTTGGTGTGGCCGTTGATGAGGTCTGAGGGAAACTGCCACTTTGCTTACGTTTCCTGCCTGCTCCATTCAGTGCTCACTGGCTTTGCTGTTCCCTGCCCTCTTCCGTGAATTGGGCATCCTCAGGGGTTTCACGTTCTCTCCTCCACTGATTTAGTGTTCATTCTCACTTGCCCACATCTGGTGCTGCCCTGTGGTTTAAACACAGTCCCCTTGCAGGTGGGGTCCCCTGAGAGGAGCAGCGAGCACCTCGCACCAGGGGCTGGCCGAACCCCGTGCACCCCACACATTTCTCCATGCCGCTGAGCACACACGCTTTCTCACGTTCACTTCAGGTGGCTCTGCGGGTGCCGCTGCCCGGGGCCCCCAGTCTGTGTGCGGCTGGCCGCGTTGTGGGGAGGGCTGGGTCTTGGAAAGCAGGGGAGGTGGCGGGCCAGGCTCCACCCTCTCGAGACAGCGCCATCTCCCTGGACAGGGTGAAGTCCCCTCGAGGGCCAATGTTGGCACCTCCTCAGGACCTGAGAGGCCTGTCTTGGGTGCCCTGATGTGGGAAATGAATTTATGGGTGTGGACTCCCCAAGGAATTGAACTCCAGAGGCAGAAAGATCGGGGCTTTGGTCCACGCCCTTTCAGGTGTGGCTTGGTGCCCACAGACAGGCACAGGGTGGAGGGGCCGAGCACTTCCACCCCGACTCTCGGGAGCTCCTGCTTCACACCTGGGGTTGGCTTGGTCTGCCCAGCCTCACCTGCTACTTTCTGTTATCTTTACCTTTTTTTTGTTTTTTTGTCTTTTTGAGACAGGGTCTCGCTATGCAGTTCAGGCTGGCCTTGAGCTCACGTTATAGCCCAGGCTGGTCTCGAACTCAGAACCATCCTCCTGCCTCAGCCTCCTGAGTGCTGGGATTACAGGCGTGCATGCCTGGCTTTTCTAGTAATTTTCAGCCTTTTGCTTCCCAGGACCGTGATTCAGGAAGACTCGAGCATTTCTGTCTAACCGCAGAACCTCACCTCTGGCTCGAGCCTGTGCAGTGGCGTCTACTGGTCCACTGAGCTACTTCTGCGAGTGAGGGCTCAGTAAAACAGTCCGTGCAATATGGACCAACTGAAAGGTCTTTACCTCGCAGCCCTGCGCCCTGGTCATGGGTGTCTGTGTTTCCCTGGTCCTGGGTGCGGCCTCCAGCAGCTATGGTTGTGGGCTCAGCCCTCCCTCCTCCTCAGGAGCAGAACCCTCCCAGTTGCCCCTCTGCAGCTGCAGGGACCTCCATGCCCCCTGCCCCAATCGATTAAAGCACCTCCCCCACTTTCTGCCTGCCAAGGGGCTGCTCTTGCCTGTTTAGGTCAGCGCTGAGCAGCAGCTGTCTCCAAGCTTCTCCCAGGCTCCTCCAGAGCCCAGCACGGCTGGGAAGAAGCCCCAGGAGGAGGGTCCTGCTCTGGACCCTGCGTCCTGGGTCTGTGCTGGCTGCATGTCATCTTGGTTGGGGACAGTGCTGTGGCCCCTGCTCAGCCCGGAGAGAAGCTTGAGGCAAGTCCTGGGGACCACAGCCATTTCTGATTGAGGAAACGAGGGGCGGGGGTCTGCCCAGAGGTGCTCAGTACCACTCTGAGCACTCCCTGCCTGGCCCCAAAGCCCAGGCTTTCCCACTTCATTCTTTGTCTGTGCCATGTGGGAGCGCAGGGCACACCAGGGGTAGAGCCAGGCCCTCCCACCTCTGCCCAGGCCAAGGGTGCGCAGTGCTTAATCCGTCCCTGGGAGGTGACCCGTGTGTGGAATTTGCTGGGCAGCCCAGGCTAGCCAAGCTCAGGATGCACGATTTCTCTCCAGGTCAATCATCCCTCAGCGCCCGAGGCCCTGCTCCCCGCACAGACTGCTGCTCGCTTCCCATGGAAGCCTCCATCTGGGAGTAGCGGGCGGGCCACCCGGGGGCCCTCGTTGCCCCCAGCCCCACACACTCTGGGAGGTTTGTGATCCTCTGAGAACTCGCCCCAGCTTCCTCCACGTAAGGAAGCTCTGGCTGCAGAGAGGCCAGTGCCATCGGCCCTAACTGGATCTCAGTGTGCACTGTGCTGGGCTATTTGGGCAGCGAGCGTCCAGCCTGGGCATTTCTTCTGCATTTTACATGCCCACGGGGCCTGTTCCTTGCGCCTGTCTGGTTGTGTCACATCACGGAGGGTTTCTCAGGGCGGCCGCAGGCTCTGTGCACGGCTGGGGCAGCGTTCACAGCACAGCTGCTGCCAGGCCCCGTGGTGGAGGTGCTGGCCTGAGGCCCTGCAGGGCAGAGTGCAAGGGCCAGCAGCGGACCTTTGAACATGGCCATGTGCCCGGGTCATGCAGGTGGACAGCAGCCAGGCCAAAGAGGCCTGCTAGGCGCCACCACCTCCAGGAATGTCCAGAGGGGCTGCACGTGCAAGGCATGTGACAGTTCTGTGCATGTGTGTGCGTGGAGTGTGCTCAGGGATGTGTGTGTGTGTGCCTGAAAGTGCACGTGGTGTGTGGCTCTGTGTGGGAATGAGTGTGTGCTACTATGTACACATGAAGTTTGTGAGTGTGCATGCACATGGATAGCTGTGTGCACAAAAGGGCACGTGAGTGAGTGAGTGGGCATGAGTACATGCATGTGATGGTACGCACAGGGCATGCGTGTTCATGAGTATTTGCATACGGATGTATGAACACACGTGTAGGTAAGTGTGCACAGTGCATATCTGTGCATGTGCCTACAGGTGTGTGCATGTGTCTGTGTGTGTGTGTGTGTGTGTGTGTGTGTGTGAGACAGAGCCCGCTGCCGGACAGTCCATGCCAGCAGGACACTGGTGTGTGAGCTATGAAGATGCTGCGGCTGTCCTTGCCAGCTGCCCCCAGGCCGCTGCACCTGCATCAGACCTTGCGTGTCCCAGGCTCGGCCTGTGCTGCACATGGCAAGGCTTCTCGTCTTCAAAACTCGGCTTGGGTGGCGCCACTCTGGCCTCTGGGCCCTGCTGGCTCCCCACGAGGCGGGGCTGTGCATTTTGCTCCTGTGTCCTCGTGCCTATGCCCGGCCTGGCCCTCTGGGCAGTCTCTGCTGCAGGCTTTCCCACACTGTACACAGAGCAGTGTCCAGGCTGCCTGCGCCTCCACCTCCCTGTCTGCAAAATACTGAGCCTTGCACCTGCCAGTGGCCCCTGTCCTGTCCTCTCTCCATCTCAGGGCCCCGCCCTGCCTTTCCTGCCAAGACACGGATTTGTCAAGTGAGCACCGCGGCTCCACCGCACACATTGGTGAGTCCCACCAGGAGACCAGACCCCAAGACGCAGCGTGGCACAGCTCCTTCCCTGCAGTTCCCCTGAGCAGGGACCACTGCGCAGCCTGGGCCAGGCCTGGCATCCTGCCATCTCCTTGTTACACCGGGGGATGAGCAGCCACTGGGATCTTAACTCAACCCCAGAAATAAATTAGAGGGATGCAGCTTAACGGAAGGAAGACGCTTTATTTGCGAAGAAGAAAAGGGGAAAGAAAGAAGACAACTGCTCTGATAGGAAAGAATCGGGGCAGTGGCTCTGGAAGGATGGAGGAGCCCTGGGCACCTTGTTCCCAGCTGTCTTTCTGGGGGTGACTCTGCCCCAGCCGGAACTTGCCATAATTGGACCGGCTTCAAGGCACCTCTGCCTAATGTCCTTTCTTCTGGAGTCTACATGTAGCTTCTTTCTCTCCCTGTTTACTTGCCTTGACCCACCTGCCAAGGCCTTCCCTCTGGGGGTTGCCAGTGTACTGGGGCCTCCTTACTCAGCTTAGGGCAGTAGCAAGGGCTGTGGCAGTCTACCGGACTCCTCACCAGCCTAGAGGGCATAACACGTGACCACAGGATGAGCGCGTGCGTAGAAGTGGCTGTCGGAGCAGAGGTGTGGGCACAGGCTGCCCGAGGCAGGCGCCCCCTGCTTCCGCTTTGGTTACTGGGGGTGGGTGCAGCCCGGTCTGTCATCTGTATGCCCGGCTTTCTCCTTGTGTCCTGCCTATTAGCTCTTTTCTGGGTCTCTTGGTGCAGGCCCCAAGGCCACTTGGTGTCTTTGTCTGTACTTTTCCCTGCCCCGTCGCTGACTGGCTTCCAGGGCAGTCTCCCTGGTACAGTTCGCTTTCAACACCTTCCGGGCAGCATTTGCTGGAGTGAAGGAGGTGCGGTCCCAGCTCCCCATCCGCAGCCAGCTCGGCTGGGGACTGCGCACAGGCAGCAGTGACCTAATGAAATGTTAACACATCATTAAAGTGATTTTCGATAAGCACAGTTAACAGTGTGATAAGCCACTCCTGGCTGAGTCCACACTGAAAACAATCACTCCCAATCAGCATTGATGCCCATGAAGGTCACGGGACTCAAGTGCAGCCTGGCAGGGCACAACTGCCACCTGAGACCATCGCTGGTCACAGAGCTGGGACACTGCCAGGTGCCCCGCTGGACTCCAGTACCCTGAGACTCAATATGTGAGGACACAGGACATGGGCTGGGCTGGGGGCCAGGGGGACCCTGGGGTCTGTGTCCCCAGAGGGCAGGGGATGCAGGAAGAGGCGTTGCTGGCCCTGGCCTGACTCGGTAATGACCCCACCACCACCACCAGGCTGTGACTCTGAGGGGAGTAATTTCCTGGCGCATGAGTCCACACTTCTGTGCCCTGGGAAAAGGGCAGAAAAGGCCTAGGGTCTGTGACTGGGGCCAGGTGGGCAGGCCGTGGGTGAAGAGGGACACACAGCAGTGTTCTGTGTGGATCAAAGGGGCCATGCTGCTCAGGGACAGCAGAGCTGATCTGTGCCCATCACCCATGTCCACCCTGCTCACATCACGGCCAGGGAACAGCCCAGTGAAGAGCCCGCTTCATGCCACTGCGGGGAAGCACAGCAGGGACAGGGAGGGCACTGGAGCCTGGGATCCATGTGGCCTGCTGGAAGGTCCAGGCCTCGAGGCTACGAAAGCTGGACTCAGACCGAGGCCAGATCTGCCCTCAGCTGCTTTCATCTGGAACAGCATTCCCCTGCCCCACTCCCCACGCGGTCACCTGCTGTGGGATGGTAAAGGTCCTGAAACCCAGAGGGCGATGATCCAGCCCGGCTTCCTCTTCCAGCAGCAAAGCCCTCGGCCAGTGCAGCTGGGTTCAAAGGTAAGAGGCGCAATTGAACAGTACAGTGAATAGTTAAACAGGGATTCCAGTAAAAGACGCGTGCCTTTGGGGGCTGCCGCAGTGGCCGTGTCCTGAGTCCGTTCAAAATGTTCACCTCCGTTTCTGTCAAATAAAAGCAGGACGTTGTGTCCTTGCCGCCTTATCCGTGAGACCTAGTGCTGCAGCCTCCAGCTCTTTCCCAGCTAAAATGTCATCTGTCAAAGATACAAGCTTTCGGTCCACTCAGGACACAGAGTCAGCCGCCACAGGAAAGAGGGCTGCGGAGCTGCTGCAGAAGGTGGCGGAGCGGTGGGAGGAGTGTGTGTGGGAGGGGGTTCGAGGCAGGGTGGCCTTTGCTGTGGTAGTTTTCTGTTTTTCAATTGCACCCGGAGTTTAGGGCAGCAGCAATGTGCCAAGGGCTGTAGTGACCAGGACTCCTGTGATGGTTCCCGCTCCCATTCCAGCCCTCCTCTCCTCTTAGCTTTGGCCACCTGAGTTTTTTGGTGGTTTCATCAATGTTACAGTTTTTTTTTCCCGATTTGGGGACCACACACATCACCCCCACATCAACTGCAGCTCCTCCTCTTCCTCCTGCATCCTTCAGACCAGAGCTAAGGGCTGTCCTTGGAGAAGCCTCCAGGACCCAGGCCAAAAGCCCTGCTCTGTGCCCGATGCTCCCTCCGCCCTGAGCTTCCCACCCTCACTCCCTGCTCCACTCCACTCTTGGTGGAGCTCAAGCTGCTGCAGAGGCTTCCTCGGCATAAACCTGGGCAGGACTGCTGGCAGCCAGACTGCTTATCCAGATGATGCCAGGTCCCAAAGAGACCCTGAGAATTACATATGATGTTGGGGAGCCCATGGCCCGGTGCCTGGGCCCTGGTATCTGCAGCCACCATTGTCTCTGTTCTTTGCAAGGCTTACTCCTGTCCTGTCTGCTTGAGGCCAGCCCTGGCTGTGAATTGCAATGGGTACCAAGATGGGCTAAGATGTGAGGGCCAGGAAGAGGCGTGCCTGGTGGTGCAGGCAGAGGAGGGTGACAGGGAGCCTTGTGGGCTATGTTCTCTGTGTTTAGGGCCTACTTCAGCCATGAATTTGTGCACACCTTGAATCCCAGGAGTTGGGAAGATGGTGAGCAGGGGGAAAGGAAACAGCAGGACTGGAGGCACCAAGGCCAGCTTTGGGAGGACCGTGGATATCTTTGCAGTCCTGGGGTGGGAGGTTCAAGGGTCTGAAGAAGAACTGAGAAGCCGAGAGTAAGCAGAACAGGCAGAAACTCTGTTGTGTAGCAGGCAGTGTGAAAGTTTGTCCAGGCTGACAAGCCCATACTTTTATGTGGAGTATTTAGTCCATTTACGTTTAATGAGATCACTGATTTAGTTGAGGTATATTGACCAACTTCCTGTTTGTTTTTTATGTTTCTTTTTCTGTCTTTCCTCGACTTCTTTGAATTGATCTTTTTAAAATTATCATCCTCCTATCTCTTACTAACAGATTAGTGTTTGTTAGTAACCTAGTGGTTAAAACACATCTTATTTTCTTATGGAATCTAATAGACATTATTTCTTTTATCACTTCCCTAATCTTGTAGAGCCTTAGAAAACTTTAGTATCATTCATTTTCCAGCCTTTACCTTGTCATTTCCAGACTTTCATTTCTACACATTTTAAACCCCACAATATATTCTTAAGACTATTTTGAGTCAACATGATTCATTTATATTTGTAAACATTTTTGCCCTTTCCTTCACTCTTTTCTAATTTTTTGAGACAGAATTTTACAAGGTTGCCCAGGATGGCCTTCAGCTCATAACCCTCCTGTCTCAGCCTCCCCACTGCTGGGATTACAGGTGTGGGCTTCCACACGCAAACTTTTCCCTTTTCCCTTCCCACGTTCCCACGTTATGGCCAGATTTTCTTTTGCCTGCAGCATCTGTTTTAGCATCTCTTGAGCACGTTTAATTTCGCTGTCCTGGCTGCCTCAATGTCCTGAGCTGATTCACGTTTTCCTTTTGAGGTCTTTTAGACTCGGGAAGAACCAGAAGCTGCACCATCCATGGGGCGGAGCTGGCGGGGAAGGTGGAGGAGGACACAGCAGGTGTCTCTATGAGCCGCCTTTCCCTGGGGAGCGTGCAGCAGCAGCAGCAGCTGTGCTGTTTTAAGTCACACCTTGAGAGACGCGCAGGAAGGAGGATTCCAGAGCTGCCCAGGGCATGGCTGGGATGAGGAGATGAGTGTACATAAGTGGGCAATATTTTGAGGGCATTCGCAGCAATGCTTCTTTTACTGTAATAATTTTTTTTGGTTGCCTGGAATTGAACTCAGGACTCTGCGCTTGCCAGGCAGGTGCTCATGCCCAGCCCTACTGTAATAAATTTTTAAAACATGGATATCCACTGCATGTCTCAACCACAGCTCCCACTCTTTCCACATGGGAGATGCTGGGTGTGGAAATCCCAGAGTCTCCAAGAGGACTCTCTCTTGCCCATGCTCATTCCTTGTGTCCTCGTGAGGCTGGGAAGATGGGAGCCTGCAGCTCAGGAGCCCCAAAATGCTGGGCTTCCGTGTCGTGAGATCATCCGCCTTGGCACCTGGTACTGCCAGGGTGTCCCAGAGAGTGGCTGTGCCCACTTCATCCTGGGGCCTCTGCAGTTGGCTCCCAACACGAAGGCGAATGCCCTCACTGTCCAGGATCTTGTCCCAGCCTGAGGCTGCCACCCAACCCGGCAGCCCCACGGCCTGGCTGATCTGGACAAGGGAATGGTCCGCATGTTGAAGCCCATGCAGCCCCAAGGGTCCTCAGCCTCCTTCCTCAGGGGCCTGTCCCAGGACCCTGCGAGGCCCTGGGATCTGCCTGGGGTCAGCTCGGCTGTGGCTGCCTTTCCCTGCACGGCAGCTGCTGGCCTCTCGGTCCCTGGTGCCCTGCACCTCCTGTCCTTCAGCAGAAGTCCTTGCGCTGGTGGACATGTCACTGCTGCCAGCTCCTTCCCTCAGGACGGGAGGTGGTGATGGGTGGTGACAGTAGGCAGTGGGGATTTGTTGGTTAAATGGTCTGTGCACTTGGGCACAAAAATGCCCTCATCGCATCCCACACCCACCTTGCTCTGTCTGAGCAGGCATAGATGTCTCTGTGTTTGTGTCAGGTCTACCTCTTGCGGTGACTGTGGCTTTCGCAGGGCTGGGAGCCCCGCATGTCCTGTTCGTTGTGGATTCCACACCAAGCTCAGAGCTTTGCGGGTGAGGATTATTGTCCCTGCCGCTTGTCAGCAAACTCGTGAGGGCAGAGCTCTGCACCTGAGTGGCATCTGGCACTCTACAAACTAAGCTTAAATAAAGGCTGAACAAGGCTGCAGGTGGCTGGCGGCAATTTCTGCCTTCTGGGCGGGAAACACCGGATGGGGCAGAGCTGCCTGACTTTCTGGCTTCCAGCAGGTTGCATAGATTTTAACTTGGACTGGACGTGATTTGTGTTTACCTTGTGTCTCAAAAGTTGGACAAGAGAGCTTAGAAATCACTAGTGGCTATGGACATAGCCCAGCGGCCTAAGTGCCTGCCTGGCAAATGCAAGGTCCTGAGTTCAGTTCTGGGTACTAGAAAAAAAGGCCAGTGCTCTAATGGGAAGCTCTGAGCAACTGATGCACTAAACAACTGATGGACCAAATGAGGGCCGGGGGGCCAGGCCTGTGCAGTGGACGTTATAGTGTGACACAAGTGGCCAGGCCAGCTCTGGGCGGAGCCTCCTTTCTGTGTCTACCAACTCATGTCCAGGGGGTGGGGTTTCAGAGAGAGCAGGAGTCTGTAGATGAAGAGAATGTGAAGAAACTTGATCCAGGGAACAGCATCTGGACACCAGAGAGGTGTGGTCGGGTGTGGAGGCAGGAGGTGAGGTCGAGCAGTCCTCCAATGGCCTCTCTGTTGGGAATCCAGTGCTCTGACAGTAAGGACCCCAGCCACGGACTCAGGGCCCCTTAGCTAGGCTGCCCATCTGACCTGGACCACTGCTGAGACCCACATGAGTTGTCCAGGGTGGGGCCTGCGTGTACCTTCTTGGAGTCACAACTCAGCCTCTAAAAGGGACCAGAACAACCATTACCTCTCATCTGTGTCTCCTTCACCACCCTGCACTGTGCCTGGCCCCTCCATGTGGCTCTGCCCAGGCCACATGTGCTCTGTAAGTCACTCATCAACTTCTGAGCCCTGGGGCAGGGCTCTGGGGAAGCAGAAAGGCTGAGACCATGGAGGGGAGGCAGACTGGCACACATGTCATGGGTAAGTGTCGATGGGCTGCAAGACCATCCTTGGGGCCAGGCAAAGACACCCTTGGGAGGGACACTGAGCCTCCAGCCCCAGGTACTGGAGTCAGGAAATGGGAGTGAATGCCTCCAGACAGACAGAACCTGGAGCCCAGGAGCCAAGGGTGCCTGAGCTGGAGCCGGGATCTGGGGCTTTTCTGGGATCCTGGATGCAGAGGCAGAGCCAGTGCCTTCGGGAAGCAGTGTGGTGGGGGTGTGGTGTAGGGAGAGCAAGGTGGTATGGATCGCTGAGGGCAGCCTGATGGATGGCACTGTCCCTGGGCGCCCTGGCACTCCCTGCCCACCTGGCTGCTGGTGCCAAAATCATCTGCAAAACCCTTCACAGACGGCAACCACGGGCATCGTTAGTTAAAGAGACCTGCTCCTCCCATGCCAGGGGCTCGGAGCACCCAGGACTGGAACCTGTTCTGCTCCTGCCCAACCAGCAGGCCCAGGGGAGCCTGGACCCCAAGCTCTGCAGGGCAGTGCCACTGCCAGTGCATGGGGCTGGGCATCTTCATGCCACCTACCTGGGAGGAGGGGCAGAGAGCAAGGTCTGCTGTGTCCTGTCCCGGGAGAAGGCCATGCAGAGCTGGACGAGACCCTGGGGGGCCTGACGCAGAGGCCACTGCCTGGGTCCTCTGTCCCCGCAGCTTGGCCTGCACTGTGGTCACTACCAGGCTCTCTCTGCCGCTGAGTCCCCGGGTTCCTGCCCAGCCCTGGACCCTGTGCCCAATAGCCCCACTGGCCAGCTCCAGTCTAGACTTACCGGGGCTCTTTCCCAGCCTGCACCGAGGGTCTGCATGACCTGAGGTCTCCTGAGCCCCTCTCTGCGGCTCATCTCAGAGAACGGTGGCCCTCGGCCCTGCCATTCTGTGCACCCTCCTTGTCCCCTTCCTTTGAGAGTCCAGGATGGCTCAGAATTGCTTCTGCAAAACTATTTACTTGGACCAACCCTAAGTTACTGGTTTCTAAGTTATCCAGGCTAAAGACTGGGACAAAGGGCCACTGAAGCCTGGAAAAGAAAATCTCCATGAAATCCCATGTCCCACTTCAGGAGGGGAAATGGCCTAACACAGAGTTTGGAATTTTGCTCAACAAGTCCCCAGGCCCTGCGGAGTGGCCAGGCTCTGGCACTGCATCCAGCTCCTGAAGACAGAAAGACAGCAGGGAGCAGGCGGGAGATGCACACTGGTCACCGTGGTGTGGGCAGCGTCCCCAAGGAGGGCAGCAACAAGCCCTGGCAGCTGAGGCAGTACAGTGTGTGGCCAGCTGCTCTTCCTGGGCCAGATGAGGACACCCTGGGCAGGAGTGGGGGCCGGGGGCGTGGCTCCTGCTGGCTGATTCCCTCCTGGTGCTGTCCCCGTGGGCCCTGGCTGGAGGCGGGGCATTGCATCCAGCTCACTGGAGGTGATGCTGCCCGAGTGAGCACTTGGGTCCCGCCCGGCTCCACACCCAGCTCATACAGTGTGGGGCTCAGGGGTTCCCATCTTTTGTTGGTTTGAAGGGACAAAGGAGCCCCAGCTGGGGACAACTCTGCTGCCTGTGCCGGTGCCGCCATCTCCCTGCTCTGCAGCCCGGGGACCCCAGCAGTGCAGATCACGATGCCCCACAGTCTCACCGTCTGCAGCTGCTGCCCAGGCCTCCGTCTCCACTTGGTGGCCGCATCCTCTCCCCATGGCTGTCGCGGTCTTCTCTCTGTGGCTCTGTGGCCCGGGCTCCTCTTCTCGTCCGGACAGAGAGGGTGAGGGCAGCCTGTGACTTCTCTTTCATGACATTACCTATGTGGAGACTGCGTCTCAGACGGCCCCAGCTGAGGTCTTGGGGGTTAGCACTTCAGTGTGTCCCCTTCAGTGGGTCACTGTCGAGCTCAGGACACAACCCCCCCTGCCCCCCTCTTCCTTCCCCTACAGAAGGGTCACAGGGCTGAGGCCGAGGCCCCCTGCACACTGCTCCTGCCCTGCCCTTCTCTGGAGACTTCTGCGTGTTCCAGAGGCACCAGCTGCTTGCTGCCCTGGGCCTCGGCCCTGAGTCCATGCTGTGGTTCTGCCTCCTCTCTGTCACCTTCTGTGACCCCAGAATTCAGCACAGCACCTCAGCCTGGCCCTGCTGTACCCTAAAGGTGCTGCTGCCTGTGGGGCTCCATAACTGTTCCCTGGAAACTCCTAGCACTGCACCTGCTTACCTGGCTCCAGCCCGACTTCCACTGCCCAGCTTCTGGGCTTTAGAGGAAGGGTTGTGAGAAATATGCAAATGTCCACACCTTTGGCCCTTCCCTGGCCAGCTGTAGGGGAGCCAGGAAATCACCTCTTCAGGAAACTGCATAATTACCAGCCTCCGTGTTCAGCCAGGGGCCAGACTGCGGGATTCACTCTGCTATTAACCTTCTGAAATCCGTCTAGACTGGGGCAGGAGCCCCGGACAAGACAAATTCATTAGCCAGCCTGAATAATTCAGAGGGGTTTGGAGAGCAAATGAGCGGTGGGCACTGCTCCGCCATGATCCCTGCATATATAGATTTCCCTGTAAGAGGCAGAGTATAAATTAATGAGAGTCTGATCTGTGCTAACGATGCGGGCGGGGCTCCCAGACAGCGGTTCATTAGGGCAGGCGTGTGCACTCCCCACGGCGCAGTTGGTTAAGTTCCTAGAAGCTGCTGGGTGCCCGGGTGAGAGATGACCTCTCCAGCCATGAGCTGCACAGCCACAGAGCTTCACCTGGAGGAAGGCCTCCTCCCCAGGGCCGCTGGCTGGAAACTGCTCAGAGAGGAGCAGGGCAGAGCCCGTTCTCTCTGCCACCCCGGGGGCCCTAGGCAGGTGACCGGGCTGGGGTACCAGGGATTGAACTCACGACTGCCTGCTTGCAAGGCAGGCGCTTATGCCATTGAGCTAAATCCCCAGCCCCCAGAGAGAGCTTCTTGCCTCCTCCTGCCCTAAGTGAGGAGCCTGAGACATGCTCCTCGCTGGCCTTGATGCTGGCTCTCAAATGTCCATGTGTCCATGTGTCCCTGTGTCCCCTGACCCATGCCAGCACAGCCTCCACATGTCCAGGCTGTACCTGTGGCCTGCATGCAGGGCAGGCAGGCAGGAGGGTCCTGTGGGTGCGAGGACACCTGTGACTTTCTCCCCTGGTCCCGATGTGCTTGGGAGCAGAGCCTCTACCACCCCGTGGCTGGGCCTAGGACACCACATTCAGGACATTGACCAGGCACAAAAGGACAAACCCTGCCCCAGTCCATAAACCCCCAGGGATAGTCAGGAGACTATGGAGGTACTGGGCGCTGTGGAGGGCACGGATGTCATCATGCAGGGTTACAAAGTTGCAAATTACAAATTAAGATAGAAAAAGAGCATTTGCTCAATGAAGAAGAAGTAACAAATGACAAGATGAAAACAGCTGCTCGTCCGGCAGACCACTAGGGTCCAGCCGCTGTGACCACAGCTGGGTCCCGAGATCGAGCTGCGTGAACGGTTCAGATCCAGAGTTTCCCCCCAAGCTCTTGTGACCTCAGAGATGTGGGATTGTGGGGCTCGCAGATGACAGCTGCAAGGAGGCGTGGCCTGCAGAAGAGGTGGCCTCTGGGCGCCTCCACACTCCCCTCACCGCTTCCTGTGCCCCATGCCCTGAGCAGCTCCCTCCACCAGGCTCTTCTACCTTGGAGCAGGCGACCAGGGACTGCACCCTAGACCGAAACAACCTCTCTCCTTTGAACTGTGGTGTCCAGTGTTTTGTCTTGGTGATGGGAAAGTGGCTAACACTGCTGTCTCCAGACATCCTGGACACAACGGATCCTGCAACCCCCTTTGCCCTTGGGCATTTTTAGGCCTCAGGGTATGGGCAGGCACGGGGGCAGTGCAGGAAAGGCCCAGGTCTGAGGCAGAGGGATGCTTGCTGCTCTGGGCTCCTGATGGCAAAGGACACCCTGGAGAGGCTGCAGCTGTCCCCACACCCTGTGAGCATGACTCACACCCCTGCAGTGCATGCTGAGCCCGAGGCCTGGCCATCTCTGTCACTGTGTCCAGGAAAGCAAGGCAGGCGGCTTCTCAGAGGCACCACCTCCGGCACACAGGCTGACCACTCCTGCAGCCCACTCCCACCACGAGCGGCCCAACCTCGCTGCCCTGGAATGTTCCCTGGTGGCCCAGCCATCTGCGGGTCCAGGGCTGGAGAACTCGTCACCATTGAGGTCCTGCTGCCTGGGACAGCCCTCCGGAGTCCTGTGGAAGGTGATAAAGCCCACCTCTGCCCTTGCCAAGCTCATAGTGGCCTCAGTTTCTCCAGCCATTGCCCGCTGGTCCCCTGGTCCCCTGTCCTGGGCAAGGCTAAGAGGAGGGAGAGGGACTGTCACTTCCGTCACTGCGGTCTCCGCTCTAACTGCACAGCCCACCAGGAAGCAACCTTTGATGCTCCACATGGCTGCCCTGACGTACTGCCCAGCCTGGCAGCTCACATGGGGACCAGCTCCTCTCAGGATCCAGGGAGAACCCCCTTCGTTGCTCTTGCAGTTGGGGAGGCCCCCCTGCAGAGCCAGCAGCACAGGCCCTATCCTCCTTCTGCCTCACCCTCTCCCACTGGGAGACCTCTTACGATTCTGTGAGGCTCACCTTTCAATCCCAGACAATCCCACATCTTTGTGCAGGGTGGGATGGGTGGGGTGGGAAGGCGTGCAAGGTGGTCCTAGGGATTGAACCTAGGCCCTTTGCACTGAGTTATGTGGCTGGCTGGTTTGTTTTGTTTGAGACAGGGCTCAAACTTGTGATCCTCTTGCCTCAGCCTCGCAGAGCACTGGGATCACAGCACGCACATCACATCCGGAAATCTGCTTATCTTGAAGCCAGCTGGTAGCTCCTTGTTTCCCCTTGCCACGCTCCCAGCGCACAGTGTTCAGGGATCAGGCCTGGGCAGCTCTGGGGGCGGACACCATGCCCCAGACCTCCTCCTGGAGCTCGGTCACACTGCTCCACGGTGAGTGTTACTCCACCGGGTGAGCACCCAGAGGACAGTTCCCACACCTATGACCAGGTGGCAGCGAGACAGTGGTGCAGTGACCAGCAGGGCTTGCTGGGGGAAGTGGCACCCTTGGCTCAGACACCTTCACCCTGGACTTCAGCCTCCCGGCTGTGAGACCAGAGCTGGCTGGGGTTTAAGTTGCTGATTGTCATGGCAGCCCCTGCAGTCCAGGACACAGGATGTAAAACCAGGCCTGTGGTGATCTGTAGCAGCTGGACCTTGGAAACAGCCTGAATGTCCATCACCCGAGGAACGGGTAAAAATCTTTTCACGCAGAGGAGTGCTGCTCGGCCGTGAAGAAGGACACACTGGAGACTTTTATAGGGAAAGGGGTGCGAGCCGAGATCACACGCACAAGTGAGGCAAACTAGACTCCCGAGTGCAAACACCGGACTGTCCCAGAGTGTGAGAAGCTGAGAGAGTAAATGAGACCCAAATGCACACTAGATATTGTACACAAAAGGAATGAGAAACGGGTGAAAGGAAGGGTGGGAAATGGAAAAAAATATACACACAAGGAGGGTGAGATGGGATACCGCTGGTTGGGATCAGTCCGTTGGGAAGGGAAGGTTTGTTTCCTGCCTGGGTCTTGTAATCTGAGCTCCTTGGAAGCCAACAGTGCGCCTGTCACCTTGGTTGAAATTCTGTATCATTGTTGCTCTAGTTTTTCTGTTGAATCTGGGCTGCAGCATAGAGCTGTTCCATGAAGGTGACAGCAGCACCTGAGAGCTAGCGACCATCATTCACTTGTTCGCTTGACAGGAAACGCAGCCTGGGCGCCCGGGGAATCCCTGCCACAGAAAGGGTGGATAGGGTGGGCTCAGTCCGCAGGGCCTCTCCTGCAGGGCTGGCATGGGAAAGGGACAGCCCTGCCCCTCCACGGTGACAGCCTCAGCTCTGCTCCAAGGCCTCATCTACACTAACTGCTCATTTCTCACCCTGTGGGGACTGCAGGCCAGTGGACCCAGTGGGGGAAGTCACCAGGGGTGGCCACCGCCAGCTGGGCAGCCACTTTCCATGCCCACAGCTCATCAGGAGGAGTGTAGCCCTGGCCCACGCCTTGTCCAGACCTGACCATGAAGTCTCCTTGTGTTCAAGCTTCCACATTCTGGCCAGGATTTGTGTCAGTGCAGGCTTTCCATCACAGCCCTGGAGAATGATCCGCTGCACAGTTTCCAAATTCGCGTCTTCATTTCAGGAAGATTGTCTCCTGCGATGTCTGCAAATATCATTTCTGTTCCATGGTAACATTCTCCTTTTTAGGGTCACTGACTGCTTCTTTGGAATCTCTAGAGAAAAAGAGCCCTGGAGGGCTCGGCACCTCTCTGGGGACCCCGGATCTCTGTTCGGACATCTGCCTGTCCCCTTTGTGGCCTGGCTTTAATGAATATGCTCAGGATTTTGCCACCCTATGCCTCCACAGTATGGCCTCCTGCCATGCCAAGACTTACGCAGGAGCCAGGCCATGGTGCATGGGGTCCCCGGCTTCCTTCCTTGAAGATGCAGGGCCGAGGCTGCGCCCCTCAGAGACACTGCCTGGGGCTCCTGGCCCTCCTCTGCTTCCGTGCCCCGCTGTCTGCACAGCTCTTGGGCTCTAAGGGGAAGCCCAGATCTTCTCCGGTTCTGTGCCTCACATTGGCTGGCACAGCCCTGTGGACAGCATTGCCATAGTGGCCGCATGGACAGTGGTCACTGGAGGTCAGCCCAAAATGCTTCAGGGTGGAGTAGAGGAGGCTGCAGGTGGACAGGAGGGGCTGGGGCTGGGGCAGCAGTGGCGGTGCAGGGAAGGGGCTCAGGGTTGGGCATGCAGGACATTGATGTGGCGGAGACCTCTCCTTTGCTGTCTGAGCCGCCCCAGGTCTGCATCCTCCTGTGCTAGCTGTACCACCAGCTCCTGGTAGCAGAATAGGGCCTGAGGGCATGGCCTCCCCAGGGACCTTGGAGCAGGCCTTGTCCTGGGTGCTGTGGGGCTGCCAGGGCCTGGCCTTGGCTCCCATCTCCACCACTGCCATGTGTGGAACCAACTCAGCCCAGAGCATCCCAGAGTGAGGGACTTTCCAGAACTCCTGATGAGGGCCAGTTAGGCTCCTGATGGTGGCGGAGCCCCGAGTGTTCCTCTAGGCTCCCTGCTGGCTCCTGTCTCTCTACTCTCCTCTGCCAGGAACTGGATTTGCTGAGCTGGAAGAGGGGGACCTGGAGGACCAACTTCTCACTCCAGAATCAATTTGAAATAAACCGAGCACTTTCCATGCGAATTGATCTTAGATGCTGGCCGGATTCCTGGATCTCAGCTCCGAGACATTTTCACGTCCCCAGCACCTGGCAAGCCCCTGTGCTATGTGGGACTTTGGGTGAAGGATGCAGAGACTCTTGGACCTCGGGCTCCTGTCTGCAAACCCAGACCAGTGATGGCCTGCACGTTGCATCCTGAGGCAGGCAGGGCCAGGTTTCCTTGCACCAGGGATGCTGTTGGGGTCTCCCAGACCTCTGTGCCTTGACTGCCCATTCCTGGGAGCGACACACCCTCTCCCCTCCGGGGACACCCGCTGACGCCTGCAGGACACTTTTTGGAGTGGTTCACAGGAAGACCCTGGGTGAGGTGAAGAGGAAGCTAGCTGGCCTGGGAAGGGGGCCAGCTCCTGCCCTGCTACTGAGTCCTGCAGAGCCCCAAGGAGCCTATTCTGGGGAGGGGACTCTGCCCAGCTGGTGCCCAGCCTCATGCCGGGCTCTGGGTGGCACAGGAAGTAGGGATGGACTGGGGCGACCAGCGTTGAGACCAGAGCCTGGCAGAGGTGTGGGAAGCTCGGCCTGGTGGTGCACTTGTGACCGTGCTGCACAGCCGTGACGGCCAGCACAGCATCATCCAAGTGGGGTCAGTACCGGACATCTAGGCCCCTGGGCTGCTGTCCAGGGCAGGAAAGCTCTGGGTGCTGGCTGTGACTCACGGGCATCCAGCTGCCAAGGGACCTGCCGGCCTCACATCCTGTGTCCTGCAGCCCAGGCCTCTCCTTCAAGGGGAGCATTAGGAAAGGGGGACACTGGGCCTCTGTCTGTTCTCACGGGGTGTGCGGCGGCCAGGGCAAGTGACTCCCAGACTGGGCTTCTGTTTTCCCATCTGCAGCCTGGGCCCAGGATAAACTGCATCTTGCACTGTGGTGGTGGGGGCAGATCCTGCCCATCACAGTCACCACCAGGAAGCTGCCTCTCCGCCACCAAAGGGCTCTTGCTCCAAAGGGTGCACGAGGAGCTGCTGCGACGCACACCCTGTGCCAGGCAGTGCTCAGAGGGCACAGCCAGGGGCCTGGCGTCAGACCTGTGCCCTCTGCACAGCTCTGGCAGATGACTATGTCTCTATCCCCATGCCAGCCTCAGGATCTCAAGCCGGAATGGAGCTGCCGGAACAAATAACCGTGACTTGAAGGCTCCCAAAAGCAGACAGCGTCCTTCACACGCTGAGACGAGGTGCGTGAAGGTGCGGGCTGCCCACCTCGCTCCAAGGCTCTCGGCGAGGATCTGTGCATCTCTGCCAGTGACCTGGCTTGGGGCCACGCACTCCTGCCTCTGCTCCATCTATACGTGACCACCTCCCCTCTGTGTGTCTCTGCACTCCTTACAAGAACACTGATCATCATGCACAGTGGCATTGTCTCTCTGTGCCTTCGTGACAGCTTAGACTGGCTCTGTGTCAGGTTGTATCCGAGGTCCTGGTGTGGGATCTGGGGGACCCACCCGGCTCGCTGGGCCTTCTGACCCTCACACAGTGGCCTGACCTCGTCCCCTTCCCCTTCCTTCCGGCAGGAAAGCAGAGTCCTGTCTTCCGAAGGTGACTCTCGGCCTGGTTCTGCCTCAGAGCAGGGTGACCCCAGCAGCCTGGAGGGCAGGAGTTGTGAAGATACAGAGGATGACGCCTCCACACTCTGGGACCGACTCCAGCCCTGCGAGCCCTCGGGGATGGGACAGACCCTGAGCCCTCAGCCAGCTGCAGGACTGGGACCTGCATGTGAGTCCAGACCTTCTGACTTTTGAGAAGCGCATATCTGATTAGACCACGGCCCATCCAGTCCTCATGACCACCCAGCTCAGGAGTCCCTATCACACTGAATGGCTGGGGAAACTGAGGCCAGAGGGTTGAGTGGGTTTGCCGCTCCTGCTCCCAGCTCCAGCATCCATGAGGCCGAGGTGCTGTCACTTCCTCACCGCCTGACCTCCCTCTGCCGTGGCCGCTGCTTGTCAGCGCCGGGGTCCGCAGGCCGCACCTGTCCTGGGTCTAGCTCTCTCTGCTGCTCCCATCCTGGGTGGGAGGAGGTGCTCTCAGGACCTCAGCAGGGCGTGTTCCGCAGCATCCCTCCGCGGGCCCGGGGCCGCATCCTCTGCTGCAGACACCATAGGCCTACTTGCTTGGCCTGCTTTGAAGGCCGCAGCCTGCCCTGGGCAGCAAGGCCTTGCTGGGCCTGTCAGCAGTAATCGGGGGTAAATTAATGTTTACTAAGCAGAGTCTCACGGGGAGGGATGGCCATGAGAACAGTGGAGGCCCGGCCAGCGGAAACCTGATCCGGGCTAATTGTGGGACCAGGCCTTCTTGGTCTCCCTGCCCACCCGCTCAAGGTCCTCCCTTGGATGCTGTTCAAAGGAGCGAAGGAATCTCCTGCCACCCTGTCCCCTGCCTGCTGCCACCAGCCTGGGCCCAGCGGGAGCGGGGTTTCTGAATGGGATCCTAGCGGGCCCTTCCACCCCCCTCTCCCACCTCCCACCCTCCCAACACCCCCCTCCCACGCCTCCTTCCCCACCTGGCCCTGGGGCATCTCCCTGCTTCTGAGCAAGGGGTGAAAGCTCAGAGAGCTTGATCACGTCACCCAGGTCACACAGCCGGCTGCGTGGTGGGGCTCACACCCAAAACCAGTTTGCGTTCCCAGGAGCTGCCCTCACACTGGAGCCGGAGCCCAGTCAAGGTGGGCAGGCTGTCTCCTCTGTGATTCTGGGTGGACCTTCTCCCTGGCCTTTCTTGGCCCTGCACTCTGCCTCCCCTGAGCTGGGGACACAGGCCCAGTGGGGAGACTATGAGGTGTGTCTGGGGACACTCGGTCCTCTGGTGTGACCTCCCCACACCTGCTCCTCGGTGGCCCTGGGCCCTCTGAGCTGTGGTGTCATGGGCCAGGGCTTAGGTGGCCACCCCAGGGCACGTGGTGGGGCGAGATCAGCCGACGCCAAGCCCGAGCTGTCTCCAGAATTCGGCAGAGCTGGCTGATCCCACGACATTGGGGGTGCACCAGAAGTCACCTGGGCCCAGGCTAGGTTCAAGGTGGGGGTCTGCAGCCTGGCTCCCCACTGGGCCACAGGGGAGTCCCACAGAGAGAGAGGCCTGGGGCCTGGGCAGAAGCAGAAAGGGTGGGCCATGGGATTCAAAGCTGAAGTGTGTCCAGCTGGGCCCTATGTGGGGCCACTGTGTGGCGGATAGGCCCTGTCCATCTGTCAACCATGTCGCTTTTCAGCCCTGTACCAGAATCAACAGGCTGGGGGCCACAGGGAGAAGGTTCCCAACCTAGCTCAGTGTGGCCCAGGAGCCCTGCTGGGGACAGCTGAGAATGCAGCGGTGAGCTCCCCAGCAGCCAAGGCAATAAATCCCCAAGGGTGACCGAAGCTGCCTTCAGGAACTGCTCAGCTGGGTTTGAATCCTGCACCCATGAGGGATGCTGAAAGAGGATCATAAAGGATGCGTGTCATCTATCTGGTCTCAGCTCAGGAGATGGACAGAGTCAGGCAGGAGGAGTTCATAGGGAGGGCGGGCAGAAGCCCAGGATGAGGCCACCTGGGAGCTTACCTGGTCTGAGCTCACACTTTCTGGGCTGCAGCACGGGTCCCCTCCCATGTCACAGCACTGCTTGAGCTCTCAGGGGACACTTCCCAGCATCCTGCCTTACTCTTCCCTAGAGGCCCCGGCTCATTAGGGAGGAGCCCAGCTCCAGGGCCCCTCCGGCTGCCTGGCGCAGCATTCAGGATACTTTCTGATTGTTATTTTGTAAGAAACTGAACTCCAGCGTTGTGGGGGATGTGAGACCCATCACCATGGAAATGGAGCCCTGCGGAAAGAGTGTGTGGAATGGGCGGGTGGGCAGCACGCCAACCTCCTGTAGGCCTGGCCTCCACCACCAGGTGTGTGGATCTCGGTGTCGCCTTGTGGCGCCATCTTCACAGAGTACCTGCCCTCCCCAGGCCCTGGACACTGTTGGCCCTGAGCCCCCTTAGGCCCCTACCCCATGCAAGTGGGCGGCTCAGCCAGTTGTCAGCCTGGTGTCCAGTGCTGCTGCCTGCCTGCCTGGTGCCTCCTGGACAGAGAGGACTCTGCTGTCCCCTCCCCAGGCTCCACAAGAGGGCAGGTGTGATGGGCACCCTTGGTGTGACAGCCTCTTGTGCCGCCCTTGCCTCCTGCCCCCACCTGGCTGCCTGCCCACTGGCTTGGTGGTCATGTCCACACTAAGGGCCATGCCCACTGGGCTTCCTGGGCCTGACCAGCACCCACAGCACCGGACTGCTGCCAGCTCCTTATCCAGGCCCCGTCCTGCCCATACCAGGCACTGTGCCCAGCTAGACAAGCAAACAGCTGAGCCACACCTGGGCGATGCTCTGGACAGAGCTCCCACGTGAGGCAGCAGCTGGAAAGGGCCGCTCTGGTCTCCTTCTTCCACTGAGAGCCACTATGGAGACCGAGGGACCCGGATGCAGGGGGGGAGCTGGACCCTCTGCTCCACAGCAGGACGTTGTGCAGGACTTCCATGTCTGCATTTCTTCCCGCTCACCCGGCACTGGCAAAGCAGCGGAACCCAGAGAGCAGGGCCACAGCTTCGGGGCAGCAGCCCACAGGGCGTGACTGTGGGTGCTGGCCAGTCCTGGCCCGGACAGCCACCAGCACGCCGTGGGCACCTGAGATGGGCATCGCCCAGCCCCACAGGGTCAGCCCTTGGCCGCAGTGCAGAGCCCTCCTCTCTTACCCTCCCTCCCTCTCTCCCTCCCTCGTTTCTTTCTTCCCTTCCGTCCCAGGAGGATGACCCTCGAAGTGGGGTCTGGCTTGGAGTCAAGAGGGGTCCTGAACAGGTCCTTGCCCCCAGCTCTGCCATGCCCCCAGTTCGGGTGAGGATTGCTCAGAGGCTGGGGTTCTCTGTTCCCCAGCCGCTCTCCTGACACTGGGGAGCCTCCCTCTGGGTTCAGGGTGGAGGAGGAGCCCGAGAACACTGGGCTGCAGAGGTGGCACCCCACAGCCTGCAGGCCCTCAGCCACGGCCTCCTCACCCTCCCTTCCTCTGTCTCTGACTCCCGCAGTCTCTCTGTCTGACCATGGTCTGTCTGTCAGGCGGGGGTCTCTGTCTGTCTCTGTCTTACTCTCTGTGCATCCTTCTCAGCCTGTCTCACTCAAGTGCCCCTGCCGAGACCATCGCACATGGAAACCCCGCACACAGAACCCCATGGCCCGCCTCCCGCCCCTCAGCCCACCCCAGCACCGGTCCCTCCTCTGCCCTCCGGCCCGTGGGCTCAAGGCAGCTCCGTGGGGTTCAAGCCACCCCTGCGGGACTCCCGTCCCCCACAGCACCAGCCCGGCCTGGACGCTAATCCCCTCCACATGTAGAACATCCCAGATAGCCCCGAGCCCACGGCGCCTTTTGAACTTGTGAACAGAAATTGATTCAAGGTGACGAATTTGTAATCAGTTTATGATGGATGGGCCGCCTTTCCAGAGCGGCAGCTCCCTGTCCCTCCGCCTGCCCGGGCAGCAAATGTGTTTCGCTTTATCCCCCGCTCGGGCCGGAGGACCGGACCAGGAGAAAGAAACTGAAGTCAACTGTGGCATTTAGCTCGTGAGAGCAGATGCCGCCTAATTGGCACGGGCGGGAGGAAGTGCTGGGGAGGCCCGGCTGCCGCACCCTGGCTGGTCCGCGATCGGATGTGAAGCCATTAGCGTGATTAGCTGAATAATGACTTTGGAACTAATTTTGGAGGATTGGAGAGAGAGCAGGACAGGAGGAAAGTACAAACAGCTGCGGGGACCCTAATTTCAAAGGCTGATGTGCGGCGCCCGCCCGGCCCGCCCGGCCTGCACCCTGGCTGGCCGTCGTGCTGCTTTTGGCTTTTGCTTTCTTCTTTTCTTTTCTTTTTTTTTTTTTAAATCCAAACTACCCTGAAGTGACTACGCGCACGCCCGGCAGAGTTGAACTCCACGAGCCCAGGCGGGGTGTGGGTGCCAGCTCTGGGCAGCTCTGCCGGGGCCCGCTCGCTAGGACCCTGTTTGAGAAGCGCCCTCTGCTCTCCTGGCCAGCAGTGGGCAGCAGCCTGGACCCTCTCTGGCTCCAGATGCTTTTGAGAATCTGTGAAATCTGGGCACCACCCTGGGCGGCCAGCTCCAGAGGCTTCCGGGCCTGTCCTGGGCCCTGAACCCGTGCCCTTCACAGTCAGCGCCCTGAGCCCCTCACACCCTTGAGGTCCACCATGGAGCAAACAGGAGAAGGAAGGAGGGAGCCAAACCGAGCACCCGAGCAAGGCCTGATCCTCACAGCCCGCCACTGGAGCCCACGGTGTCAGCAGCCCCCAAGTTGTGCCCACTGCCAGCGCCTGCCACAGAGCCCCGCTCCCCAGGGAGGATGTGAGCTGGGCTCCTGCTGGCTGTCCCCCACCGCCAGCCCCACACATGGCACCAGGGCTTTATCCAGGCCGCATCCCAGCCTGATCCCTCTCTGGACTGTGCCTGCCTGAGAAATATCCTCGGCTCTGTCCTCTGCTCTCCTAAGGTCTGTCCCCAGGCTCCAGAGGTGTCAGGGCCTCTCAGGCACCACCTCCTGCAGACCTGGGGGCTCCTGGGCTGAGATGACATTTAAAACCAAGTCGAAAGTGGTGGGACACATCTGTAATCCCAATGCTCTGGGAAGCTGAGGCAGGAGGATGCAAATTCAGTGGGCAACTTAGTGATTTAGCAGGTCCATATCAAAGTAGAGACCAAGGGCTGCGTGTGCAGCTCAGCTGAGGGCCCTGGGTCCCCTCACCAGTGCCACAAGGTAAAGCTTTAACATGCGGTGCAGGGAAGAGCCAGCGTCCTGTGCCCATCTGGGCCCCCTCTCTCCACACAGCTCACACACATTGTCAGTTCCCGTGATCTACTTGGAGACGGGAAGTGGGAAATTCCAGAAGCAAACAGCACCCCAGTTTTAATTGCACGTCTCATGGTGACGAGACCTCGTGCCCCTCTGCCTGGTCCCCCAGCATGTGGGCACCCCTGCCCTGCGTACCCACAGCCCAGTGCTGCCGCTGCCACCTCCGTCCAGGGTGCCCGATCCATCAGCAGCTTCTGCCCAGGAATTGCCAGGCTCGTTGTCCTGGAGCCCTGCGACCCAGCCCGAAGGGCAAGTACAGGGACACAGGCACTTCGGGCGGGCGCAGAGGCCGGATGGGCTCCTGGTGACAGGCGATGGTATAATTGGGGGGGGACCAGGAAGGGTCCACTCGCTCTGCTCTGAGTCCAGCTCTACTGCTCCTGCTTCATCACCAGTGGTCGCTAAGCCCTCATGCTGGCTGGTTTGTTGAAGGTCTGTGCATAGGTGAAAGCGTCATCCCTGATGACAGGCGTCCCCTGGAGGTCTTGGGACACAGATCGTGGGACAGGAATGGGACCCTGACAAGTTTCAGAGCCCACCAGGACCACATTAGCAAAGCCAGCTGCAGAAGGTGAGGCCAGGCTGCACTTTGGGAGCCCAGAACGTGGCCATCGCTCGGGTGCTGGGTGGTTTGGGCAATCACACCCCGCCCTGCCCCATCCCCAGGGTGGTAGCTGCAAGACCCCCAGGCTCCCATAGCTGCTGGACAGAGACCCAGAGGGTGTGCTCAGGTGTCGCGATGGGGCCCCGTCCTGCTGACTGGGCACTAGCCATTGTCACGCAGAGGAGAAGTAGCCTCAGACCCTGGGTCTGGAGAGGCAGGAAGCCTCTCTCTAATAAGCAACATCTCTAATAAGCCCAGCACCTTGCCAGGGCTCCAGAAAGGCTTTTTAATTGACTGTGATTCACTCCTGAGAATATGCTCAAGAAAACAGGGCCATTCACACACACAGTGGTATACAATTAACTGTAACATTACTCATCACAGTCCAGGAGGAGCGAGACCTGGACGGTCATCAGTCTAAGAACAACCTGTAGCCACACAAGGGTGAAATATAATATAGCCAGGAAAAGGGAGAGAGACCTACACTGTCACATTGGAGCCAGTGTCAGAGGCCCCTTGCCAAAGACTCAGAGTCCCAGGTTCCACCCGAAGAAGGGTCCTGAACAGCCTTATCCATGACACAGGTGGTGGCTTGGTGGGCGACAAAGTACCCTGATGGCTAAAGGTTTGGCACTGTTTCTCCCATGTGGGATGTCCTGGAACTCACTGCAGGACTGCTCACAGGGTTTCCTGAGCTTATGCAAACCACGGGACTGCGTGCTTCCCAAGGTCAGCAGTTCCAGTCTGCAGGGGGGGCACCGAGGCTCAGCCAAGCCAAAGTGATAGGACTTTGTGAGGACCCAGGCAGAGGGGTGGGGTCTCAGGTGCCACCTGCACCCCTGGTCCCCGACTGATCTGCCCAGTGAGCACCGGCATCTGTACCTCAAGGTTGCCAAGCCGTGGTCTCCACCATCCCTGGGAGGACAGGAAGGGATGCTGCTGACCGAGAGAGACGCACTGTCTAAACTCGGGCTGCAGCTGCTGTGG